GCTGACGCGCCCAGTAGCGCCGTCGCCCCTCCTATGGAAGGGCTGGCTCAGGTCTCCATGCTGCCTGCAGGTATCTGTCCTGGCCCGCTTGCCTGCACTGGGGCTGCGTGTGCTGCAGCTGCACAAGTCCTTTGACAGCCATGCCGCACTGAAGTCCTCCGTGCGCCTCTACCTGCACGGCCGGGACTTGCCTGTGCACAAGCAGGAGGCTATACCCATGCACATCTTCCCGGCCACCGCTGAGGACTTCTGCCTGGAGAACCAGCACCTGCAGGCCTGCTTCTCAGGACGCTCGGGCCTGCTGCAGGCAAGTGCAGGGGTCTGATGGGTGGCGGGGTGAAGGAGGGGAAGGAGACAACAGCTCTGCCTCGTGCAAGGTGTGCTCACAGCTGTGCTGGCCTGTGCCCTGCAGAGCATCCGCCGAGCTGGAGAGGAGCGGGAGCAGAGGGTGAGCAGCAAGTTCCTCGTCTACGGCACCAGGACCTCCAAGGACAAAAGTGGAGCCTATCTCTTTCTGCCTGATGGCGAGGCCAAGGTATGGGGACTGCCTCCAAGAGCCAGCTGGCAGACGTGCCTGCGGCCACACGACAGTCCTGCAGGCAGCAGCCTCAATGCAGCTCTCCTTCCCTCACAGCCCTACGCCCCCAAGGACCCCCCAGTAGTGCGGGTGACAGAGGGACCCCTCTTCTCAGAGGTCGCCAGCTACTACCAGCATGTCCAGACTGTGGTGCGGCTTTACAACGTGCCAGGTGAGACAGCATGAGGCTGTGCCAGGGAGGTCGTTGGCCCGGGGGCACTGGGTGATGCTGCCCATGGGGCCCAGCCCCTCACTGCCTGCCCACAGGGGTGGAGGGCCTGTCCCTGGACATGTCTTGCCTGGTGGACATCCGTGACCACATCAACAAGGAGCTGGCCCTGCGCTTCAGCACTGACATTGAGAGTGATGACACCTTCTTCACAGACCTCAATGGTTTCCAGGTATCCAGCAGCCTGGGGAGGGATGGCAGCTGTCCACAGGGGGACAGTGCGCTGCCACCCAGCACCGAGCACTGTGGGAGCCACCTCCAGCTGCTAACCTCTGTCCCTCGGCAGATCCAGCCCCGCAGATACCAGGGGAAGCTGCCGCTGCAGGCCAACTTCTACCCCATGCCTGCCATGGCCTACATCCAAGACACGCAGAGCCGCCTGACGCTGCACACAGCCCAGGCCCTGGGGGTCTCCAGCCTTGGCAGTGGTTTTTTTGGGGCCTGCCGCAGAACCAGGGCTGCCCTCGTCAGGAGGTACTGGGGAAGAGGGTGCTGCAGGGTGGGCACAGGGGGATGGTGGGGAGGAAGGTACTGTGGACTGGGACCAGGGTGCCCTGGTCCTGCTGTCTCTGGGGACTCCCTGGCTACCCCCAGTCCTGTGGGAGCATCTCCATGCGTGGCAGGAGAGGGACTGAGCAGGGCAGCTGGCTCGTGTTAAAGCCTGGCACGCTGGGTCCTGCTCTCTGCAGGCCAGCTGGAGGTGATCCTGGACCGGCGCCTCATGCAGGATGACAACCGGGGCCTGGGCCAAGGGCTGAAGGACAACAAGCGGACCTGCAACCGGTTCCGCCTCCTCCTGGAGCGCCGTGCCACTGCCAACAAGGTGCGTGGGCTGAGGCCACAGGACTGGTGTCAGGCACAGTGCCACTTGCCCAGAGAGCCCGGCCCTGCCTTGGGACGGAGCAGGGTGGAGGTGTCTGCAGAAAGCCACATGTGTGATTGGGTGCAGGGTCTCTGCCCTCTCTGTCCTGTGGCCCTCCTGGCCATCATACTGGCACGGCACAGGGATGGGCCATGCCTTGAGCAGGGGGGTGTGGGGAGGGTGGGACCGTGAACCGTGGTCTGTCCCACAGATGGGGTGCAGAGCCATGTCGCCCTTGTAATCAGAGTGTTCTTGTCCCGTCCCCTTGCTGCTCTCTATGCGTGCACCATGTCACCCATTCAGAGCTCCAGCTTCTTTTCCAAACTGGCCTCCATGTTTAAAGCCTTGGGCTTCCCCTTGAGCAGGGGGGTGTGGGGAGGGTGGGACCGTGAACCGTGGTCTGTCCCACAGATGGGGTGCAGAGCCATGTCGCCCTTGTAATCAGAGTGTTCTTGTCCCGTCCCCTTGCTGCTCTCTATGCGTGCACCATGTCACCCATTCAGAGCTCCAGCTTCTTTTCCAAACTGGCCTCCATGTTTAAAGCCTTGGGCTTCCCCGGCGCCAGGACTGG